GTTGGAAAAGGTTTGACCACTTGTTGAAAGGGTGTTCATGATGTATCTGGAAAAGTTTACAGAATAAATGCTAATAAGAGGACCGTAGATCCCCACCTATGCTACTTACTAGTGTACTAGTGGTAGTAGCTAATGGTGCACATGACTTGCGTAGATTGCTTCTTGAAGATTGTGTGTGATGGGATGTGAAACTCTGGAGGATTGCCTGGTCCTGGTCCTCTGTGTGTCTTTGGTTGAGTTCCAATGGGAACGGTGCAAGTGTCTCCCGCAGAAGTCCTTATCTTGTTCATGGTGTTTCTTGCAGGGATGTGCTACATCAGAATTTTGAGGGCTATAGGCCTGAAGTTCAGGAGATGATATGTGTAGCTGACCGCCTGGGCTCACTGATGCAGTATGAAACACCTGGTTTCCTGCCCAACAAGAGGATACACAGAGGTACTCTCTAGAAATGGAATAGTTCTAGTCCAGGAACAGGGTCTTTAGGTCATGTTGTCTTTCTTTAGAAATTGTTTCTTATTGTACTTACCCAGCTGCCGTGTGGTCAGGAGAGAAAATTGTAGAATAGCTTACACTGAGCTCTGGTGGAAGCTGCTTCCTCCAGCTGGGCTCTGCATTCTTGCTACCATGTAGATCTGAAGCATGGCTCTCAGGCCCTTACTAAAAGTCGGGCACCTGATCCAGGGCAGCTGTCTCCTTCCTACAGGAGGAAGGAGAAACTTGAGGCTCTCCTTGTTTCTATAGGAAGCAGTGTTGGGTCAACAGCCCACCTTAATTTGAATGTGACAGCAGAAGCTTGTCTCACTAGTCCTTCTGGTTCTTTATGTGGTCACCAAGGCTTGAGAGAAAAGATACGAATTGACCTCTTGGAAAGGGTTCTGGTGAGGTCTGTCTTGGTATTTCCCTCCCTTAGCCATGGGCTTGGCAGCACTGGAAGTCATGCAGGCTGTGCATCGTACCTGGACCAATTCAAAGGTTCGCATGAATGGAAAGACAAGACTGATGCAGTGGAGGGACATGTTCGACATTGCCGTGAAGTGGAGAAGGTAACCGGCGGGCGAGTGAAAAGTAGTCAGGAGTGCTCCATGCACCTTCTCACTAAGAGGTTTGAATCCACACTTTGCTTACACAATTGGGCCCTGTAAGGTAAGGTACTGAGTTCTTTTCTCCTAAAGTTTTCCAGAACTCTGTTACCTTTATTCTCTAGAACACACTCAACTTATGTTCATGAAATAGGAGTGAGGCTTGCCAAGTTTCCAAGCCCCTGTGTGAGCAGTGTTTCAGATGAGGTCTTTGGAGTAGCTTTCCTTCCCTAAGGTGCAGGCCACCTCTGGACTTCTAGTAACTCATGTACCTGCCCAATATATCAATGAGTTCCTTTTCTCATTGTTGTGACAAGAAAGCAATATAAGAGAGAAAGGTTTCTTTAGGCTCAGGGCGTCCATCATGAAGAAAGGTGTGGCAGCAAGAGTATGAGGCAGGTGCTCACCTTGCATCCGGTCAGGAAGCAGAGATGACTGCTAATGCTTAGCTCACTTCCTCCTTACTGAGTGTGGGCCCCTAGTCCACGGAATTGTACCAATTACACCTAGGGCGGGTCTCCCCCCCATCAGTTAACCCTCTCTGGAATCACCATTGTGGGTGTGTTTCCTAGGATGATTCTAACGCCCATCAAGTTGACAGTTTAGACCAACCATTACAGCTCATCAGCCTTTGCTGGCTTCTCACCTGGCGTGGCCAGACTGTGTTCGGAATGTGCTGGTCTGTGTGCTCTTTTCAGAAGTTGGAGCCAGCAAGGGTTTCTTCCTCACTTTTGCCCAGACCCATCCTTGGTTTATCCTGGAAGCAGTGGGTAAGGTCTCAGCCCTCATGAGCTCTGTTTCACAGGATCGCTGATCCAGACCAGCCTGTACTGTGGCTGGATCAGATGCCAGCACGAAGTCTCAGCAGAGGTTTCAACAACCATATCAACTTAATCAGGTGGGAACCTTTTGTGTCTTGTTCCTGTTGGCATAGGGGTGCAGCAGTATAAGATGTACCATGGTGGCCTCGATAGGGGACACACCCATGGTAGCTCTGCATCCACAAGTTCCATGAGTCCCTTTCTGTTGTTCCAGCTGCATACAGGCAATGCATGCCATGTACCTCCACATGTAGAACACTGCTGAAAGGTGGATTCAAGAATTATGAACTAGCATGTCAGTGTTCAGAAGTCATGAAACAGCATAGGAAGTGATTAGATGGAGAATCAGTGTTTGCCACAGTATCCTCATGGGTCTACTGTGGCTGGGGACCCCAGGTCCACCCTGAGCATTAAAGGCCAGTCACTGAGGTTGCTCCCTGGTGAGAGTTGTGCAGACTTGAGAGCCTCTGTATTGTATTGAGCCCTGCAGAAAGGTACCTGGGTGAATGTTCACCTTTCCTTCCTCTATGGGCTTGGCTACCCTGAAAACAGGCATGAGCACATACTCAAGAACCCCACTTCAGGGATGGATGACCATGGTGTTTGCCTGCCATTTAGTAACCCTGACTTTAGATAAAATGGACGATGTGGTACGGTGTCATATCAATACTTCCAGCTCCAGAAACCTGAACCAAGAAAACATTACTCTACCTAACATTTGACATTTAAACTTAGGTTTTAGTGTAAATGTCTTTTTATACTTATCTTTTTAATTTCTAGAAGTCATTTTCTTTTCCCTTTGCAATTGGCTTCTTTTTATTTCTTGTGAAATGATTTGTGGTGCTTTTAGCTTGATTTAGTTGTGAGTGGTAACTGAGGCCACCGTGTGTCACCTTGTGTTCTTGCTGAGTGGTGTTTGAGTCACAGGGACCCTTGTCAGGATTTGATGGAATGCAGAAAAGGGCCACGTGGTGTAACCAGTAGCCATGCCTGAACTATCCCAAGAGAGAGAATGGGGTTGTGCACCAACCCACTGTTGAACTCAGCCCTGCTGGGAAGCTGTGATCCATCTATTGTAGCTGCCAACCACTGCACATTCCAGGTAGTGTCAGGGATTGAGGTGGAAAGATAGAAGCCAAAACGGAGAGCCATTTGTGGGTGGCGAGCCCTTTGGGGATGGTCAGCAGAGACTCAGCAAGGGCAGGTGTACATGTGAAGGGTCATGGTGGCAACAGATGAATAAACAGATTTGTGAGGGGGCAGCAGGGCTCAGGCCTAACTGTTGTTAGAAATGAACACCTTCCAGAGAGTTTAAAGGAAGATAAACAGGGAGTGAGCATTTGAGGAATATAATGTTTACAGTGGGTAGAGGGAAGAAAGACTGTTAAGCAGCAAGAAGAGGCAGCATCAGAAATGCAGACATGCCACACAGAGCCAGAGAGTGGCATGTCCACCTAAGGTAATTGCCGTCAGGTGTGAATTCCATTTAAGGGTTCCTTCCCCTGTGGAGGAGCGAAGTCCTGGACCCTCTCCTCCAGTACAGACTTCAAGAGCCAGGCTTCCTGCTGAGACGGGATGTGCTTCTCCCATGGCAACAGAGCAAGCAGCTTTCTCACACTCTGTCACACTAGTCTCAGCTCCTTGTTTTCAGGGTTTGCTGATACTCACATTCCTTTATAAAATGACGGTTAACTTTATCATTTTCTACCTTACAGGGGTCAGGTGATTAATATGAGATATCTGGAATATTTTGAGAAAATTCTTCATTTTATTAAAGATAGAATTCTTGTTTATCATGGGTAAGCCTTCGATCTTCCCCTTAAATGCAAAAGATTGATTCCATACATTTCATGTGTAATATATTTGTGAAATTTGAAAACTGAGCCACGGCAGACAAAACAATCTAGATCAGAAGTTTACAGCCTTTTAGTCACTTGCCTGCTTCTGTGTAATGACTTCACAGTGTTTCAGGCCTTGGCAATACTTTTAGTCTGACACTCAGCACTGTGATATTCCCAATTGCCTACCACGCTTTCATCCATTGTGGAGTTCAGTTTTAAGTGGTGGAATCACCAGCTGAGTATGAGAACAATGTGGAACCCCAACAGTGTACTTTGATATGAGCCACACATACTTCCCACTGCAGACTTGGAAGAACAGGGCAATCAAGGTTTTGCTAAGAAATTTGCACCTGTCCATGGGGTGATGTGAAGGCTGCCGGCCACGCTGCCGGCCACACTGCTTTCCTCTGATCACCTCCATTCTCATCTGCAGCCGCACCTGTTAGCTAGGATTGACTTACCTTGTTGTTGCCCAGTTTGGATACTGTTTATCCTCAGTGTCTGGCACTGGATTTCAAGATCTCTGGGTGCTCAGGTCCCTTCCATTAAATGGTATGACATTACACAAAATCCACACACATGCTCTCACATGCTTTATTTAGATCGTCTAGACTCCTTATAACACCAACACTCGGCCAATGCTATGTTGCTTAGGGGGATACCGAGCAGGAGGAAGGTCTGGACAGTTACCCCGGACACAATTTTCTCATATATATTGTTGATCTGGGTGGATGAACCTGTCAGTGAGGCGCCCCAGGCTGTACAGGCCTACAGCATTGAGCTGTTTGCCATTTGGAACAGTTGTTTAAAATTTAAATGAGATCCACTTGCCATATTTTAGCATTAATCTCCAGTGCCTTCTCCCTTCTACTTCCCCCTCTCTCTTCAAGAGCAAATAATCCAAAGGGCTTGTTGGAAGTCAGAGAAGCTCTGGAAAAAGTACATAAAGTGGAAGACCTTCTTCCAATTATGAAGGTAAGTTTATCAGCAGATCACAGATGGGGCTGGAGCAATGGCTCAGTGGTTAAGAGCACTGGCTTTTTTCCTGAGAACCTGGGTTCAATTCCCAACACCCATATGGCAACTCAGAACCATCTCTAAGTCCAGTTCCAGGGGATCTGACTCCCTCTTCTAACCTCTGCCGGCACCAGGTGTTCAGAGTGCACAGACGTTCTTACAGACAAAACACACTTACACATAGAATGAACAAACCAAAAGAAAATGTCTCGGGGAAAATTGTATGAGAGGAAACCAGCAACTTAGGAAAAAAACCTATGTTTTAATGTTGTGCTGTTTTAAAATTTATAAAGGATGCCATCTGAAATCCTTATATAAACGCATTGTAAGAAGTAACCAAAGTCAATTGCAATGCTGAACCAGACTCAACCAGAACTGATTTTTGAGGATGCAGGTGACTCAGGAAACAGAACGGACTTGAAAATAGTTGCATTCAAACTGGACTTGTGGCCACAGTTTAGTGTTTCTTGGTTGCCCTTCCACATGTGAGAACCCAAGACAGCGGTAGTTACACTGATTCCTGAAAGAGAGAAGTTGAGGAGTCCTTCCTCACAGCTTCCCTGGAGACTGTTCATTGTACCATAGGACAGGTGACCACAGCTATAGAGGAGGAGGAGGTGCTAAGGCAGGGGTGGAGGGATCCCTGTTGCAGGACCACGTGTCTGCAGTGAGAGCCTGCAGCACAGCACAGCAGGGGCTGCTCAGAGAGCCCTGAGCAGACTTGTCAGGATTGCAGGGCTGAGACTGAGCTGTGTCCTTGAAGGTGGGCAAGTTCTGCTTGCACACCTCTAGCTTCATTTGGTCCCAAAGGTGACTCACTGTGAATTATGGTAGAGCACACCAGGCCCATCCTTGATCTCTGACACTGTACAAACAGCAACAACATGACTTCTGATGTCTGTTTTGATTTGAAATGCACTGTGAAAGAATGGACATGACAGTCAGAACCAACGAAAGATGTCAGTCCAACTGAATGAGAGAGAGAGAGAGAGAGAGAGAGAGAGAGAGAGAGAGAGAGAATGAATAAGAAAATAGGAAATCTTTAGCTGTGACAAGTCTCAGTTTGACATGGGTAATGACAGATTGGTTGAAAGAAGGGTCTCAGGTGACTTTAGAGGTCCATCTGTGTTGTACTAACCTTCAATATCATGGCAGTTACTCCCATGACTGAGGGTAGCAGGACATACCATAGAGAAGAGCCTGGAACTGCAATGGGTCAGCTTCTCAGTTATTTAACTGTGGAGATTAGGCAATAAAATTTAGTAAGATATCAGGTGGAAGACAAAATCTGCTTATACAAATAAGTGGAAAGGAAAGCAAAGTGTATTGAGACAAGTCCCATAACACCTAGCCAGAGGGTGGCAGCATTGCCCATGCTGTGTTGTCTGGAGGAGCCTGTCCTTTTGATGGGAGCATTTTCAGCTTCAGACGGGCTTCAGCCAGATTATGGATGTGTTGATCTGTGTGTGTTTAAAATATATAGGAAATATGTAGCTGCCGCTTCCTCTGAAAAGCATGGTGTGCCGCTGGAAGACTTAGAGAAAAGAACTCATGCCCCAGAGCTCCTTAACCAGGGTCTGGCCTCATTTCTCCCCCCTGCCACTTCCTGGGCCAGTGGCTTGACCAGGCTTGTTTCCCTTCTTGCAAGTATACATTCTTACCTGGTCTTGTTTGTGGCAAGCTCCAGCTGGTATATAGTAAGTAACTGCATTTGTCTTCTGAGAGCCATTCCCTGAAAGAAAGGTGCCTCCTGCTTCAGCTCTGTCTGTCCAGCTGCACTACTCTGGGCCTCCAGCCAGCACTCCTGTGGCCTGCTGTTGGAGAAGTCCTCCTTCCAGAGCTCAGAGAAGGCCTTTGTCATTGCCCTCCTCCAGGTCCATCCACCCTAGAAAAACATGGACAGCATCAAGTACCCAAAATAAGAAGGCTTTTTTCTAAAGTAAAGGTAGAACCTGTTTCCTGCCATTTTGGAATGTTAAAGTTCTAACTCAGGGCTGGCATCTGAAGCTGCGTTCCTAGGAGACACCCTAGCCAGCTCTAAGAAACTCCTAATAACCTGTGGTCTGCAAGGTTGGAGTCTATGCAGATAAAACTCCTGAGCTAGAGGAGGAATGCTGAGCACCTCTTGGCCTGCAGCTCTGGAGGAGCACTTGCAAGAACTCAAAGTACTTTTTCAGGATACAGGATGCTGGCATTGCTGCTCTGTTGGCAGGCAGGATTGCTGCCTGCTGAGTTGGGAAGAAAAACAACCCCAAAGCAGCTGCCACAATGAGCCAGACCTTGGCTGGTAGGGGTACCCTGCAGCTCCCTGCTGGGGTTTCTGCTACTCTGTAGGCTTGAGGGAAGTGAGACTGAGGCTCCTGGGGTTTGCACTGCACCTAAAGAGAGAAGCGGCATACTTAGTCACTGCCTGCCAAGAGAGAGCACCTGGTCTCTCAGTTTGAATGCATTAGAAAAACCCAGGGCTGAGTCAAAGTTCATTCTTGATCAGAACTAGATAACATCTAAATTGCAGCCTGTGGACCACATACAGTCCTGGTTGCTGTGAATGCAACCCAACTTATTTGCAGATGACAGTATCATGCTACATTGTTAGAACTGCAACTAATATAGATTTTTGTCTTCCCTTGAAAGCAGTTTAATACCAAAACAAAGGACGGGTTCACTGTGAACACCAAAGTTCCCAGCCTCAAAGATCAAGGGAAGGAATATGACGGCTTCACCATCACTATCACAGGAGACAAGTATGTGTGCTCAAGTGTGATATGGGGCTGGTGGTGACTAATGGCATGTTCTGAAATGAACTGTGTCAGGGCCCTGTGTGTATTCACAGTATATGTCTGGGGCTGCATCTTTCCTGGCTAAGTGCACAGCCCATTGTGTTCCAGCAGCAGCTCTGCCTGGGTGCTCAAAGGCTGTGGAGAGCTTGTCTAGCTGCAGGAAGACAAGGATCTGTGCAGGTCCAGGGCTGCCATGCAAGGATTGCAGATGTTTTGTGTATTGCAAGGGTGATGCCATCTTAGTGAAAATTTTGGAGTAACAGATAACCAAAATGAAGAAAATAGAAATGGAGCTTTGAAAACTGAGGTTGTAATTGTCATTTGTGACCCCCTCCTCTGCCCTTATTCTCACATCCTCATGGCTTTTTTTCGCAGCTGCTGATTTAGAAGCATTTTAAAAAGTTTTTTTTCTTTGACAGTTTCATGCATTTATATAATGACTTTTAGTCCTTCTCAGTTCATACTACCTGTCTCATCCCACAACCATTCTACTGAAGCCCTTTTGCCTAATAAGGCCCCTTCCTGCTTCAAGTTGTGTGTGTATATGCATGCGTCCCACTGAATTTAAATAGGATAGGCAGACATTTAGACCACTTCTCCCATGAAACTTTCAGCTTTCCCCAAGTCTTCCAAACTGAAAATCCTCTTTCCTTTTCAACTGTTACCAATTGTGATATGTCTCCAAGCCAGGTCTTGTCTTCCCCTCCCTCTGGCTAAAGGATCAAAGAAGAACTAGAAGGTTTTACTAATAATCTCATGATAAATACATGCTACATGAATTTACCCTCACAGAGCTGCATTGGTGCTACATGCAAAAGCTTAAACATGATACATGATACTACCTATGTGCATGAGCCTCCCACAACTCCTGGTCCTGATTATTGACAGGGTGGCTAGGAAAGTGATGGCAAAGCTTGGAGATACCTATTTCAGTTGCTCAGCACTCTGGGCAGACACTATGAGCATACACACACCTCTAATTTTCTGCTTTGATTATTTAATCCATACTTTTGACAGTGCTGCTTATGTTTTTAGGGTTGGCAATATCCTGTTTTCTGTGGAAACTCAAACCACAGAAGAGAGGACACAGCTGTATCATGCTGAAATAGATGCCCTTTATAAAGACCTGACAGCAAAAGGAAAAGTACTGATCCTCTCCTCAGAATTCGGGGTAGGTTTTGTTTTGTCTCATTTTCTATTCCGGGAGGGGAAGGGGGGGAGAGAGAGAGAGAGAGAGGGAGAGAGAGAGAGTTTGTATGTGTGTGTCTGAGGAGAAACCCAGAGCTCCATACATGCTAGGCAAGTGCTCCACTGATAAGCCACACCCCAGACCTCCAATTTCTTGGTAAATGTTCCACATACACCCCGCCCCTGTTTTACTGAAGCCGTATATCTTATGCTTAAAATTAAATGCAATTATCTTGATCTCTTTTTCTATATTATTATGGGGCAAAAAATGTCTAGGGTTTAAGAAGTGCAGTAATGGGGAATGACACACTTACAATTCATATTGTTAGCTCTGTGCTGCATTAGTGCAAGCTTAGGGTCAGGAGAGATTTACCTAGCCGGCCACAGTGAAAGTCTGCATGTTACTCTTCTTCCACACTCTTCCTTCATTGTGGTTGCTGCTTATTGTGAGACTGTGGTCTTGACTGCCGAATTGAAGGGATTTAGGATGGCCTACAAGGCACCTCTGGCTGTATCTGCAGAGTGTTTCTAGAGAGGGTAACTGAGGAAGGAAAACTCACCATCCCGTGGACTGGGGTTCTGGACTGAATAGGAGGTGGTGAGAAAGAAAGTGACCTTAGTGCCATCATGTGCTTTGTGTGCTGCCTGACTGCAGCTGTGATGTGACCAGTCACATAGTGCACATTTCCAGCAAGTTCTCATGTGAACTAGCTGGCTCTTAGCAGTGGAAGAACTCGGAAACTGGGCATTCTTTAGTTTGTGACTTCTCTCCCTGTACCCACTGAGTCAAGAAGCGGTTCCTTGCAGCGGAGGTTGTTAGCTCCCAGAAGCCACTGTGCTTCCTTTACATTGAGTCAGTAATTCCATGTGTAGGGCACCTTGGCCTGTGTAGGACTAAGTGCTTCAGCCTGTAAGTGTCAGCAGCTTGTGAGAGATGCACATTCCAGAAACATGCAAAGTATTGCCTCATCCTTTGTAAGATTTTAACTTCAACGTTCATTTTGAAATTGCAAGTCACTGTAAAGGAGGCTGACCCTTGAAAGGTGGTAGCCTAAGGGGGAGTGCTGCTGTAGTGACCAGTGTAGACTCGAGAACAGAGCACATGAGCGAGTGGGCCTTCAGGAGAGGAGGGAGCCTCTCTTCCCCAGATAGTGTGAATGTCCCTTACTGGGACAGTAGTCGTTTGTGGTATGGGGTTTAAGTTCATGAGCCTCTTTCCTTTTTCGTAGGAGGCCGATGCTGTCTGCAACTTAATCCTATCCTTAGTTTATTACTTTTATAATTTAATGCCATTGTCTCGAGGATCTAGGTAAGTAATATACCCTATACTACGATGGTTTCAAGTTGAAAACTGTTGCTATGGCTTTTGCTTCCTGTTACAGAGACAGACTCTAAAGCATACCACAAATCACAGGAAGCTTCTATTGTTTCCTCTAAAACCTGGCCTCCCCCCCCATCAAAATCAACCTTGTTGATTATAATGGTATATGCCTTTAATGTTAGTCCTGGAGAGAGGCAGGTGGATTTCTGTGAGTTTGAGGCCACCTTGGTCTATATAATGAGGCCCTGTCTTAAGGAGGAAAAAAGGAAAAAAGAAACACACAAAAGTCACATCCTTGACCAACCATCAAGAGAATTTAATGTAAGTTCAAGAGGGAGAGGCTTATGTGTGATTGTCTCACAAAAGTAGCGAAAGAAGCAGGAGGCAAACTAATGAAAATACGCTTTTTTCTCAGATAATAGATGCTCCTGTTGACAATGACCCTTAAGGGCCATATGCTTTTTAAGCAGAAGAGTAGAAAATAAACACAACAGAGTTCTTCTGTTAACTAAACCTTTAAGGTTTTAGTCCAAAGAATTTTTACGTAAGGTTTTGTTTCATGATTGAAGCCCACAGGGAGGTTAGTGTGGTAACCGTAGACCAGGGCTGACTGAATTTGTCCTGTCTTAACAGTGTCATTGCCTACTCAGTCATTGTGGGAGCACTGATGGCCAGTGGTAAAGAAGTGGCTGGGAAGATCCCCAAAGGGAAGGTATGTCGGGCTGGCAGGAGGCACATGCTTGGCTCCACCACATCCTGGGCTTCTGGTTATGAAACACGTGAGTTTGGCCTCACATGGTGTCTTCCTTCATTCCATCCCATCCTGATTCTCTTCTTTTCCAGTTAGTTGACTTTGAAGCCATGACAGCCCCTGGCTCAGAGGCCTTCAGCAAAATAGCAAAAAGCTGGATGAACTTGAAAAGGTAACTGTGGTTGTGGTTTGTGCAGGTCTTGCTGGGAAAGGGAGGGCACCTTACTCCACACTGGGCAGAAGCCCTGTCAGTGTGCTCGTTTTCATAGGTCAGTGCTTCTTGTCCTTCAGTATACCACTTTAAAGTGCACTGCAGGTGAAAATGAGTGATGATGGGGCTGGAAAGACAGCTCAGTGGATAAAGCATGTCTTGAAGATCCAAGTTCAGATCCCCAGCACCCAAATAAAATGCTGTGTACTTGTGGTAGCTCACTCGTAAATTCAGAGTTCAGAATGCAGGAATGGGATCCCAAGAACAAGGTGGGTAGCTAGGCTAACCTGTATCTGTGAGCTCTGGGTTCAACGAGAAACTCGTAAATTCAGAGTTCAGAATGCAGGAATGGGATTCCAAGAACAAGGTGGGTAGCTAGGCTAACCTGTATCTGTGAGCTCTGGGTTCAACGAGAAACTCGTAAATTCAGAGTTCAGAATGCAGGAATGGGAACCCAAGAACAAGGTGGGTAGCTAGGCTAACCTGTATCTGTGAGCTCTGGGTTCAACAAGAAACCCTAGCTCAATAAATACAGTGGAGAGTGATTAAGGGAGAGTCTCACACACACGAGTACACACACACACACACACACACACACACACACACACATCTAAAATGAGTGATGATTAAAAAAATAAGAAAAAATAAGGAAAATGGTATGTGAATCCAATGGTATGTTGCTGATATCTATCTTTTTTGTAGTCAGGTTCTCCTTTCTCTCCCTCTATTATCCCAAACTCAGAACCAGGGTCTGGCGTGGGTTGAAACCAGTCATTTCCCGCAATCCATATGTAGCATAGGTCCGGTGGCTTATACTTTTATGGCATTCCAGTTCCTAGA